CCCAAACTCAGCGATAAAGTTGTAAATGCTATAAGATGCTTTCTGTTCCGTCTTTTGGATCCTGATCTCATCGTAATACACATGAGTCGAGCCAGATTCTCCCGAGCATCTTCAAATGTTGGAATGGTCCCACTCTTGAGGAACTTGTTGAAGTATGTCCGGGTAGGCGGGAAGGGGGAGGAGGTTATAACTGCATCCCACTCATGGTACTGACAGGGTTCCGCACACTTCTCTAAGTCCAGCTCTCCTCTCGAAATAATACTCTCAATATATACCTTACAACCGGCCTGTAAAACCAGTCCACATGCGTAGTTGTAGTAGGGTGTATTCATGAAGTTTAGTTTATCCCATTCTTTCAAATCACCAAGTCCGTCTTCAGTGCTGGTGGTCCTTTTGGTGGAGCCTAGACGTTGTTGTTTGGACGAAACATTCGCATTCAACTCAGCTGTTGCAGCTTGTATCACCTGAATAGCTTCATCTAAAATATGAGTTTTATTATTATGAACCATCTTCTCTGCAAAGTACACGGGAATGCACCTACACATCTTTATCATAGTCTCTATCTCCTGCCTCTGCCAACACTCCCTTATATTCTCCGAGGAGTGCTCTCCAGAGTGTTCTCTAAATCTACTTTCTACATTCTTACAAGTCCCGTGAGGGTGTCCCAGCCTCTTTATAGTTTTAGAAGTTAGCTTAACAAAGGTCTCTGTACCTGGTCCTATAACGTACCCTCCCTCATCCATGAACAAAACCTCGTTATGATCCCTGAGAAACAGAACAAATCCATCAGTGGATGTGGTTGGGAGGTAGTCCTTCAGATTGGTGTTCAGATCTATTGTAAAGCCGTTCTTTGAGCCGCCGTGAGCTTGTTTTAAGACTCCGTCATCGTTAATATTCAGACATAGTCCCAGTTCTGTATGAGTTACGGCTTCGGCGGGATCAGAAATGTACTGTCCAACTTTTTGGAAGAAGTAATGGGGTGTCCCTGTTAGCATGTTGGAGACGTCCAGAGAAAAGTTTAGAACCAACGAAGTGACTTCTCTTTCGTATTCAAATAATGGTTGATATTGTTCTAGTCTAGCTGATTCCATGAAATCAGAATTCCGATCGAACTTTTCAAGAAAGTCCATGGCTCGTGTGAAAAGTTCGAGGACTTCAGTTTCATTTTGTGACTCCAACGAGCTCCTGAGTGAAGTGTAGTTGATAAAGTTGGTGCTGCAGATAGTGATAGCAGGAAGTGCTACGCTCTCCACCCACGCAGTTGAGGACAGGTTAAAAGACTCATGTCTGAAGTACGCTCTAAGCAGGCTGTAGACCATGTAGGAGGTACAAATGAAGAGGAACACAACTACAACACCCCAGATCATCCTACAGGCACGAGGTCTGCTCTTCTGACGGAGCACTTGGTAGTAGTCACTCGCTAAGTCTTGGAAACCAAATAAACTTGGTTCTGCTTCAGGTGAGGCTTGTTTTTCTCTTTTGTTCTCTAGAGAAGGAGGCGGTTCCATCCATGGCTCTGTGTTTATGATAACCATACGGTATGTGATAGAACTGAAAGTTTAGTATCAGAACAACAAAAATATCATAAATTGAGCGATTGCAATAAGTTGAAGAAATTAGAATTAAACCAATTGGTCATAAATTTGTTATCTGAAATGAATACTGAATAGTCATGAAAATAGTCATTTTTGAAAAGTTCACTGTGCCATCGATTTTTTGTAAAATACTACGGATTTGGTTGCAATGTAACTAATAAAGTACTTTGGTAACAAAATACTCAATACAAAGCTGATATAATAAATGATTTGTTTACACATCAAACATGCGAACAAAGTCGGAACATTATGGAAATAAATTTGTATAATATCTTTTGCTTGTATATCAACTAAAGCACATACGCAGTACATAGTTTAATACTGTAATAGGTGTTAAACCAACTGTTTCAATTAAAAAATCTTGATCGAAAATGTAAACATTGTGAAACTTACTCGAAACACAGCCATGTCGAAGTTTGAGGCAATCCAGAAAAGAGCGATCAAATGGATCAATGGACAACAGTTTGATCATTATAGTGATATTGAATTCTATGAGAAGCAGAAGGAGCTTAAAATTCTACCCATTAGATCTAAGTTCATCCATAATTCAATTACGCTCTTCTATAAAATAGTAAATGATTTGGTAAGTATATCTCTACCTGAATATATTACTGTTGTTGAAGCTGGAACAATGAGGTACACAAGGAGCACGGCATCAGTCATTGAAGGACTTGACACCAGCACATATACCTGCTCTATTGTACCAAACTGCGATAGTTTCAGAAACAGCTTCTTTTATAGAACAATGCTTCTGTGGAATGCACTGCCAGCCTATGTTAGACAGACTGAGAAAATTTCTATTTTCAAAACAAAGCTAACTGAATTTCTCTGGTCTTCTGACGTATGCTGGCCTGATTAGATGGCCCATCATGGAATATTATTATATATATCTTTTACTTTATGAATGTCATACTCTCTATAATTTGCCCCTCGCACCTGCAGTAGAACGCGCCGTTTTTTCTTTTATGAAACAACCCGAAACAAGCGCGTCACGCAGTACGTGAGTGGCTAGATTGTAGATTGTTTTATTATAATATTATTTAATTATGTTATTTTGTTGTTATGTCGTGTAAGCTTGTGGAGTAGTAGCAAGAAGGTATCGTATACATTTAAATTTTTTCTCTTGATTATTTATTAATGATTTTATGTAGGGTCGGCACCAATGTTATTATGGTCTTACCACCGTGTTTTGGTTCAGCCGAAATAAATTTTACCTTGATGTTTTTACAATTTGTTTCTCACTCCAGCTGAGTCTGGTAGTGTTGAGTATCATGAATATTTTTCTAGCTCTCTTTTTCCATTTTTTTGCTTCACAGGAGATATTGTGGTCTTTTTATTGAATATAACTGTAATACATTGATGTAAAGTTTATTTGAATTTTGAAATAAATAAAAAATTTATAAAATGTGTTAAATGAAATGACATAACTTCTCGATAGTATATAGTCCATGAATAAGCAAATTTACCAAAATTCACTTTAAGAAGAATTATGAAAACTTGCATTTGCAACTCGTATAGTTGCAAGAAAACTTTCTTACACTGGATTTCTCATATTATAATGTGCTAGATTAGCTATCCCCTTTTTTAGAATCAGTATTACTATTCTGTGGACCGTGAGTCAACCACGAGTGAAAATCAACAAAACTGTTAATTGACAACCACTATTGTTTCTAATTGCCCTTGTTGGATAATTGCAGATCAGAGGAGAAATAAGGAATCCAACAGTTGTCAACTTTACACTTCAATAACAATAGACAAATTCCTGAGATACTGCAACAGTTGTCAACTTTACACTTCGATAACAATAGACTTAAAATTTCTATGATAGATTGATAGACCGCATTTCTAATTCTAATCCTTTGTCCTTCAGTGCCAGTTAGCAGCTCTTGATACATTTTTCGTTGTTGTTAAATGTTAATTTCATAAGAGAAGTGTAGATTAAGATATAATTTTTTCGAAAAACATTCAAGACAAAATCTTTTCTACTATCGAAAATTGCCAAAATTGAAATTAACTTTGGATACAAGTTGTACATATTTGTTCAATCATACTTTTTGATATATAATAGCTAATATCACGCAGAGGGATTTTAGAAAAACCGCGTTATAAAAGAAAAAAGATACTTGAATTTTTACCTTTTCATCTATCATTATAAGTAGCGATGATGATCAAGTTTGGGGATGCAGTGGAAACGTAATATCAGCCTGAAGTGATCACACAAAAGTATCATGTGAGCTTGAGGTCTCCTTTTTTCAGGAAGGAACCCATTCTATCATGTTTTATGTATTTTTGGATATAGCTGCACTAGCTGCAGTTCCGATGGCGAATAAAATTGGAGATAAAACCACTTTGCTCTGTTCACAATTCTCATTATGGCTCCATCTTTTTCACCGTATTCTGCGCGTTGGTCCCCAACTACTATAGTTTTCTACTTTCTAGAGCTCTCATAGGATTTGGCTGTGGATTAAACATGACAACAATTGGGGTCTTTGGTGCTAAACATATTTCTTCTAATGACATGAGATTCTACCAACATTTTCTTTCCTCCAAGGCAGCATTGCATTTACTTTCGGATGCGCATGGGCTCCGCTGCTAGGTTGGCTTCTTCTTGAAAGTGAAACGGCGGGAGTTTGTCCTCTTAACATCCATTCCTTTGTTCATGCCACCAATGAAATCGGTCGCTCGCTTTTCCCATTTATTCACGGCTTACGAATTGTAATAAAGTTTCAATTAATTATATCCATGACATGCTGTAAAATTTCTTGCTTTCGGGTCGATACTTAGTATTTCGGGATAAGGGTGATAGTTAGTGTCCAATTTGAATTAGCTGATGTTTATTGAATCTTTATTGTCGAGTACTGCAGCTGCCTTCGGGTAGTTCTTCTTAATCTATTACAATTGTAAATAGTATTTTGCGCAATATTCATTTACAATTGTAATAGATTAAGAACTTACATACGAATATTAAACACTGTACACATATATTTTGGACAAGGGGGAATGTTGAGACAAGATCAAGATCCAAAAAAGTTTTTGTTTAGCTAGCTCTCTTTTAGTTTTATTATATATATATATTTGGATGGCGGTAGATGAGTACACTACTCTCACAAGCATCTCGAGTCTCTCAGTGATCCTGCCTCCACACCACACTCAGTCTGGACTCCCTTCCGGCCGACCGAACTATTTTCCTAATATCTCCTAATATAACTTTGATCGAACAGGCCTAAATTCATGATGCACTATAAACTTGATTTGCGACAGAAATTTTATACAATTTATCTGCTTACATGTAATTTCAAACTCTTATCAGTTACCATGTCTTGTATCTAGTTTTTATCAGCAGATTTATAAATCTGCTGTTCATTTGTAGTTATTACCTTGCTAGTTATGAGTAAATTTTTGCCTTCCATCAATTGAGTGCAGCTTTCAGTTTCAAAATTTTCAGTTTATTCAGATTTTTCGTTTTCAATATTGCAAATTTTTAATAAATCATGTTCAGATTATGGTGATAATGGATGTAAAGGTACTTCAACCGAATTAACAATCCAACCGTGTGTATGACGTGTCCCAGTAGCCAATCATAATATATATATATATGTTATAGATCGAGCTGCTCCAGTAACTGGTAAGTGGTAGCCAATTTTGCAGTTTGCTTTTCGGTTTCGTCTTTTGGCACTTGGACCATACTTCAGCAAATAATTTATATTTGGTGAAAAAGTTGGCATTTTTAAAACTAAAAGTTATACTTTTAGTTTCTTTTTGATAGTTTTGGTGTTACGTCATAAAAATGTTTGACCCTAATCATAGTTATGGGGCCACATCGATATGCCCATAATAATAATAATAATGTGAGCATGTCGATATTTTCTTATCGTACACAATTAACAGTACCAAGTGCACAAACTTGATGTATCGGCGCCGATCACTGATAGCGATGGTGCGGGAAAGTGCGGTATTACTATTAGGTCAATAGTGCGATTCCGTACCCACTGCACTTAAAGTTGAACGCGGTGCCACTGCTTTCCTCGAATCCAGAAACGAAACACATGGGGACTGTAGTGCAAAGAAACTGCTGCTAACTGCTGCTAACTGCCGCTAACTGCTGTTAACTGCTGCTAACTGCTGCTAACTGCTGCTAACTGCTGCTAACTGCTGCTAACTGCTGCTAACTGCTGCTAACTGCTGCTAACTGCTGCTAACTGCTGCTAACTGCTGCTAACTGCTGCTAACTGCTGCTAACTGCTGCTAACTGCTGCTAACTGCTGCTAACTGCTGCTAACTGCTGCTAACTGCTGCTACCTGCTGCTAACTGCTGCTAACTGCTGCTAACTGCTGCTAACTGCTGCAAATGGCGCGCGCGCAGTTAGCAGCAGTTAGCAGTCAGCAGCAGTTGGCAGCAGTTAGCAGCAGTTAGCAGCAGTTAGCAGCAGTTAGCAGCAGTTAGCATGGCAGCAGTTAGCAGCTGTTAGCAGCTGTTAGCAGCAGTTAGCAGCAGTTTCTTTGCACTATAGTCCCCCTGTGGGAAGCCCTATTTTTGGTAAATATAAAAAACCAACACTCAATGACAAAAAAGAGTGGAAGAATTTAACACAGTTTTTAATTGAGTGACGTGTAAATAATAGTATTATCGGATAAATTTGACTTTTCTACCGTCCATTTATTTTTTATCTCCTTTACATAATTCTAATCACAGTGCTGGCAAGCACGACCGTTGCATTTATTGTGGGTATACTATGTTCCCATTTACTATTATACCCCCTTTACTATTATACCCCCTTTGGTACATGTTACAAGCCTCTTTTGTGCACGCGAAGCGTGCACTCCGGCCGGAGGCGGCGGCCGAAGGCCGCCGCCTCCGGCAGGAGTTTTCCAGGCATTAAGACTCATCGGAAGTCGTCCAGCAGATTTATTTTTAGTTCAAAACATTCTAATTTGATGTCAAAGATGACAGGAATAAAAAATAGTTATGTTGAGATTTTTAAGAAATTTGCATAAAATACTCGCCAGCACTGTTATACGAAATTCGGTAAAAAACCCAAAATCGCCATATTCAGGTGCCTTAAAAACCATGTTAAAATTAAGTTAGAGATCTGAAATTTTTCAGGGCATCTAGACGTTGACCAAATCGACTGCAAAAAAAGTTTCAGGTTTCAGGAGCATCGGGAAATGGGTTTTCTAGAACCCCTGTTTTACGATAGATTGTCGTGATATATACATACATATATACAAAATGAAACGACCGGTTGAGTCAGACAAATGTTTCAATCATGATACAAAACCATGATATCATCAGTGACAACTGAGGTATAGGAACTTTTAGTATCGGCTTGCCGATTGAGCACTGTAAGCAGACGACGCCACCCACAATTACATACATATATATTCAGGGATAGACGCTTTGCCAGTCAATTGTAGCCTGTATTTAATTTTCCATAGATTCAAAAGTATAAAAGATACAGCCATTTCCGACCACAGGTCTTGCAAATAATTGTTTACACTTTAGTTTACATTGTATAAAAAAATGATTTGACGTCATAAACACCCCTTGATGACGTCATCAAGTTAACCGTTTTTAAAACTTGATTTTTGACAAAGTAATAACTTTTAAAATTAATTTTAAACCATTAAAGAGTAATTTTATTCAAAATCTGAGGAAATTTTCGTCTTAGATAATTGTTCAAGCATTCTGAAAATTTACCGGAAAGTTTTTCTAGCTTGCTCCTTCATAAAGATATTCGTCATTGAAGTTTGTGCTTTTTTGAAGAATTATTTTATAAAAACGTCAATTTTGCGATTTAGTATTCTCTGGTGTTGGGCCATGCCTTGGGTTGTGAAGCTCAGTTCTGCTTTCTATAGGTATAAATTGTGCATTAGGCTAGTTTTAAAGTTGAAAATCGAAAAGTTGCACACGTGGGGACACGCCCAAATTGATAGAAAATTGCTAAAATCACTGAAAATTGCTGTTTTCGTCATTTTCTGTCAACTTTAGAGTGCCGTTGTGATTACAGTTCTTCTTGAAATACTTTGAAACTTTGCATGCTTATCAAACTATATATAAAACAATTACATGCAAAACTTTACGGCGATTCAATATTGGATGCGCACGCAACGTCCGCTCAAAGTTTGCACGTGCGAAAGGTGAGAATTTTGCTCATTCGTGATTTCCAACAAATTCTGCTTTGCCACGACAGTTTAATGTCATTATATATGAATTTAATGCCAACTTGAATAAGTATTAAGTGGCATATTCAGTCAGTGATCGACCGATATGCTTACCTAAACACAAGGAAATGTTTTTAAAGGAAAAATTTCGAAATCGTTGAAACTTCCTCCTTATTAATGAAGATATCAGTTTATATTTCGACTTTATAAAGTACCCTGACATTATAATTAAAAAGAGATGATATTTGACCAAAACCCATAATCATGGGTAGAGTGGACCGCTGCCAGTGTCTCTCATTCCCAAACAAAAGGAAATGATATTAATTTGATTGACCGTTCTCAAATGCAAAATGATACCGAGAATGAAATCGGTCGCTCGCTTTTCCCATTCATTTATAATTGTAATAGATTAAGAAGAACTACCCAAAGGCAGCTGTACTCGGCAATGAAGATTCAATAAACTTCAGCTTGTTCAATAAGTAATAACTACCACCCTTGTCCCTTACCCCGAAATACTAGGTATCGACCCGAACGCAACCCAAAGAGATTTTTACAGCATCTGATTGATGTAATAAATCGAAACTTATTTATACAATTCGTAAGCCGTGAATGAATGGGAAAAGCGAGCGACCGATTTCATTCTCGGTATCATTTTGCATTTGAGAACGGTCAATCAAATTAATATCATTTCCTTTTGTTTTGGGAATGAGAGACACTGGCAGCGGTCCACTCTACCCATGATTATGGGTTTTGGTCAATTTCAGAGTATGACGTATAAACCTGAGCCTATTTTAGGGCGTACGAAATAATTTACCGGTATTTGTCGAGCTGAACATCCTGCACCCTTTGAACATTCTCGATTTACTTAAATCTCAAAGTCAAAAATGTCGAGCTGGAGGCCAGTCTTACAGGTTCTATTTCAAAACTCTAGTTATACAGTCAAAGTTCTCTTGTCGAACTTTAGTACGTGTCGAACCTGAGTCCAGGTAGCGCACTTTTATAGTTCGACAGATTCTAACCTTAGGGTATGTCGGACTACAGTACGTTTTGAAATAGAGTGCATGTCGATCTGTTCTTATTGTTCACAGTATCTGATAGAACGGATATTAGCCGATGGTGTTTTTTCGAGGAGAGCCGCTTAGACATGGGCACCTTAAAACATTTAGTTATATTTTAATCAATATCTTTGTCGGGGTAGTATAAGAACTGTGTTTCCGTTCGTTTCGTTTCGAATATTTTCAAAATTCAAAATAACCATTTTGATATATGTATGTGAATTTTCGCGTTAGAAACTTGCTGCTTGCATATTAGAATTCTGACCTTAATTCGGTTGAAAATTAGATTTCTCAATTATATTTCATAGTTGCTAAGATGGCGGACTCTGAAGATCTACAAATACAACCTGGAGAGATATCGTACAAAGAGGAGACACCTCTGATCGAACAACAGCAGTCTTGGACAAGAATGGACAAGCTCCTTTTGGTATTTTCCATAGTTATGAATCTGGGAGATGGTGTGGAAATGTATTTACCTGGTTAGTAAAATGCGTCGTACTATTTCAAATGTAATTTTGACGAACCTAACTTCAGTACTCACGAAAATATAAAAATAAATTTGTGGGCACCAAACAAGCTTTGCGGGGTTGGTGACATTGAACTTTACGCCATTTATGGAGGCCGATTTCCGTGATAAATGGTGAAATTAAGTAATAATAACATCATTCGAAAAGACAACCATACCACCCGTTAAAACCTCAGGAGTGATAGCACAGCAAGTTTCGTGTGACATTGAACTGTCTCCATTACTGGAAGGTATACTTCAGTGTATACAGTATTTCACCTTAGCTGTAGCTACTGTTACGTCGGGGCTGTTAGCTGACAGGTAGGTTAAATTTACTGGCTTTTCCCCACTTCATTTTTGACCAGATTAAGCTGGTGAAAAATGAACAGTTTCTAATTTTTAATTTCTAGAAACTTTTAAGTGTTGAATCCTCTTGTACGCAGCAACTTAACGAAACAAATATAATATATTACCTCCAAAATATTATCATATTAGGATAATTCAGAGTTCCATTTTGTTTCAGGTTTGGAACGCGAGAGTTAACCCTGTTTTCTCTTTATCTGAGTGTTATCAGTACAGTGGTCTGCGCTGTAGTGGCTGATTATGCAACGCTCCTCCTTTCTAGAGCCCTCATAGGGTTTTGTGTTGGGCTCAACTTATGGATTCACAATGTTATAGTTACTGAGTTGGCCTCAAGTAAGGAGGTTTTAAGTAATATATCGTTGATAGGGTCCACCATGTACACATTTGGGGGAGTCTGGGTACCAGTATTGGGATCCATACTGTTAGATGTGGTAGAATGGAGGGTATTCATACTTCTCACATCATTACCTTTCTTCCTGCCACCAATTTTTATGCTTCATTTCTGTCTTGCAGATACAGCAGGTTCACAAATGCAAGACAAACAGAATGAAGCAACGCAAGTTGAAACAGTGGCCGTGCCAAACCTTGTTACCAGACTCACTAAACTTTGTTTTTATCGTGCAGTGCTCATGTTTCAAGGCTGGCTCACCATTCTCCTTGTTCCAGCCATGATTCAGCTGATCAATATCAGAAAAGCGGGACTGAAAAGTGACTGCCATGAGACTGCAACTCAAGGTACAGAACTTTTTATATTGGCTCTTGTCACATTTGCAGCTATACCTGGAAAATTGTTTGGCGGTTTCCTCCAGAAAAGAGTGTCTTTTCGCAAATCGCAGGTAGCAGTTGGCATCCTCAATGTGGGCATTTTTGCAGCGATGCTTATACAGGAAAACTTAGTGGTAGTTGCTGTGACTAACTTTATCGTTAAGTTCTTGTATGGCATCAGCTCCATGGCTACCTATTACATTCTCATCGATAAAGAGTTCTTCGGAGAGACAAAATATGCATCGGCCTCCGGTATTGCGTATGGTATGGGCCTGGCGGGAGGAGTAGCTGGGACGGCCACAGTCGCTTTTGCACCAACATTACATGTTACAATCACTGCATTAGTCCTTAGTGCACTACAGATTCTGTTAGCGATTTCCATGACAGAGGTTGAAAAAAGGATAACATCATAAATTTAGTCGACCTCTCGGGATGAAATTGAAACATACGAAGGATATGGTACGAAATCAACCGTCACTTTGTGTTACCTATCGAGTCCTCCTCCTTGAATTCCACATCAATACTACTATACTAATTATGCCGGTTGGATTGATTGCCCTGGATTGTTACAGAACAACGTCAATTATATCTCTTGAGATAATGCAACAGTTGTCAACTTTACACTTCAATAACAATAGACTTACAATTTCTATGATAGACTGCATTTCTAATTATAATCCTTTGTCCTTCAGTGCCAGTTAGCAGTTCTTGATACATTTTTCGTTGTTGTTAAATGTTAATTTCATAAGAGAAGTGCAGATTAAGATATAATTTTTTCGAAAAATATTCAAGGCAAAATCTTTTCTACTATCAAATAAACTTCGGATACAAGTTGTACATTGTACAATCATACTTTTTAATATATAATAGCTAATATCACGCAGAGGGATCTTAGAAAAACTGCGTTATAAAATAAAAAGATACTTGACTTTTCAAACATTGTCCCAACTGAACCTTTTTATCTGTCATTAGCATGCATTTGTACCGGCCACAGTTTGTAGGCAGTGCAAGGCATGCTCTTACCCATATCAACAGTTATCACTTTTCAATAACTTTTCTGATCCATCTGCAGACCTGATTTTAACAGTTTCTACTCATTCTTAGTTAAGTATAATTCGTATTAATTGGTTCTTTGAGCTACTCCAATTTCCAATGGTGCCTTAAGCTAGCATGTTTCGATTACTTATAGTACTACTATCGTAAGCCTGGAGTGCCACGTACACGTCAGTTCTCATCATGGTATTGGTAGATATTTGATTTTACTGTACTATATAAGTCACTACCATTATCAGTATCAGAGTCATCAGGCTATTGCTGAAGTGCCACGTAGGTGATTGCCCGGAAGGTTTGGAGATATGATCTTCTCATCAGTCTGTCCTTCACGGGGGTTTGTTTGCTTGTTGTTTGCTTGTTGTTTGCTTGATATTATTATGGAAAATGCTATACTCGGTGCGACTTCGACAAACTAATTTGTTTTTAATACTTTACTTTAGAGCAGACCATTTTTTTATCTACTGTAAATCAAAATAATCAACTAGCGGATTGATTGCTGTATCTGTGATAACATTATGTTTAATTTTAACAAATAAGACAGATATAATACGTAAATGCAAATGCTAAAAGCATTAAAGTTTAGAAAAAATAGTATAGTGTAGTAATAGTTAATACGGAATCGTTTTAAATTCATTTTAAAATTGTAAGCTATGATTACAGAAATCAACTTATTGTGCCCATTGATCAAGATAACAATGAATAATTGTCTCTATCCTCGTACCCTCCACCATCAGGTATCACGTGATCATGTGTTTACGCGTACTGCGGTCGCTCGCTACTGCAAGTTAGACCAAGTATCACGTCATCATCAGAGGCATCAGCACTTAGCACCCAGTTAGCAGGCACCGCAACTTTTAGCGCAATTTTCCAAAAGATATGCTGATCTTGAGTTTCCGTTACAGTTCCCCTTAAACATTGTTAAAAAAATTTTACATTGTCCAGGCACCACAGCCTCCAAGGTATCAGTACATGGTGATTGAGCTGAAAAGTTGTAATATTAAATACGCGTTAATTAAAGATTAATTAAGGATTAAATGAGTGCATCTCCCACCAGTTGTAGTTGGGCTCAATGGATTATCTGAATTTCTTATAAACTCTAGTCTCACATTAAATACATCCAGAACAATCCTATTCCCTATCAAAACGATACACTAAATGCAGCAAAAGCTGAAATTGGGTTACATTGTAAATGGGTAATGTTTAAAAAATGTAAAGTGTAAACATACCAATGTAATGTCGATATCATGTATTATTTATAAATAAGTCGATGGAAATTTGGTATTCACAAATTAAATCAGATTAAAAAAACCACCATTTTGTTAACCATAAGATCCAGCCACGAGTAGAAATACTGCCACAATCTTCATCATCATCATCATAGCTCCTTGATATCTGTATTGCGATTGCTATATTGATTTCATGAGTATTATATAAAATATGAAAGAAAGGTGGTATCGATATGATAATACAGATCGTGGATACACCGGTTAAGAAATTGTTAACATAATCTTAAACAGTATTGAGTATTGCTCTATAATGAACTGTGGCCAGAAATGTTTGTTGATAAAACAATTAAACTATGGAGAACGACCTCAGTATCAATACAAATTATAAAAAATAACGAAAATTGAATAAAATAAAAGAAAACTCAGTATCAATACAAATTATTAAAAAAAACAAAAACAAAATAAAATAAAAGAAGGAGCGTATGTGATCTGGGGACTGGGTACACACATGATGATATTTCGAGGTTCAAGGAGAACTGAATGTTAGTGAACTGGAGCAGCTCTATGAAAGGGACAGCTGAACTTATAGTCTATAGTCTCAACAAGGAGAACTGAATGTTAGTGAACTGGAGCAGCTCTATGAAAGGGACAGCTGAACTTATTGTGTTATAGTTTCAGCATTCCTTCCTCAACATTCCTTGATTGGAGAGAGTTCATACTTTCATACGACAATGTTATGCGTGTTTTCAAATATAATAGGCGGGTTTATACTTTTGCATTTCAACTGCGATAGTGAAGTCCCGGGCCTTAGGCACGGGTTACATAATAATACTACGATTTTATATAAATTATTATTTCAAAACCATATTTATAGCATCCGTAACACTAATATTAATTTAACTGAACAGTTAAACTGCCTGTCAGTGTCGAGACAAATTGTGTACTTGCAAATTCCGTGTGTAACTGTTCCAATTAAATCTATTCTTCTATAGTCACTCTACTCACTTGAGCTGAGAACACAAACATACCTTCTAACCTTTCGGCCCTCATGAAGGCCTGCCTTGAATAGGATAGATTCTGGAAAACAGAACTCAGCGTATACCTGCGTTTACAACTAAACTGATAACGTGCCGGCGGTGGTGGTGGTGTTCGGCGGCGTGCAATAATGTGGTCATGGGCCTTCATGGTTTGTTAGTCAACTGCTCCCTCAAATACACATTCACATAGATTCAAGGACGAAAAAAGCTTAATTTATAAAACTTATAAAAGCTGAAATGCTATTTGAGCATTAGATTTTAAACGCTTTTAATCTCAACTATATTCTTATTTATATTGAAGTAATTCTCGCTAGACTATACCTACTAAAAAGCTTGAAACTGCTGTAAATCTCAGCCAGTGGCGTAACGAAAGGCCCTGCTGACCCCGCTGTGCAGGGGGGCGCCGTCTTAGGGGGGCGCCAAATCGTCGTTTGAATGTGGGACAATTTCGAAAACTTAACTAAAGTACTAGCAAAACTGCGCGTTTTGCTCTAGATACACACTTTTTTAGAGATTTTACCGGCGTATTCTTTAAAATCACCTAATTTGTTCAATTTTAGGGAGAGGCACCAAAAGGGGAGAGGGCGCTAACAGGGGGGCGCTTTTTTCGGCAGGGGGCGCCAACAGGCAACGTTACGCCACTGATCTCAGCTATATTTAGGTAGGAGTGTTGAGACTCTGGCTTTACCATAATTGATAGTTATTTCACTCGTAGTTCTATTTCTAACTTTCTAAGCAGTTTCCATTTGTTGATTCAATTTAGCCTAAGTTAGCGTTGGTGTAAATACGCGATTTATGAAATTTCGGCTATTTGGGATAAATCATAAAATAGTATAATGTTCATGGTTACAGCTCCCCCGTTCAGAATGTTTCAGTATAATAATAAATGATCAATTTAATTCAGGAGAATAGCCCTTCACTGTCCTAATTTTGGAAAACTTAGGCGGGTAAATGAGTTTTGAACTTTTTCGAGCTTTCTTATATGGAATTCAGGGATCATGTTGTTAATATTACATTATCATAGAATTGATGTATTCTTTCTGGGTGGATTAAATTTCAGATCATAATTTAGGTAAATACTTAGCGCTTATTTGTTATTACCATTTTCATATATTTCAATTTGAGATAAACACTTAATTGATAAAATGATTTACTGCTTATATAAATTTCTTAATGATAATCTAACAGAAGTTGTGCTACCAATCTTTTTAAATACTCATTTCAATGATTTGTTTCCTTTTTATTGGCTTTCCTTCATCACATTGCACAGCCTCCATTCGCGGTTAATTTTTAAGATTTTATTTTTATAGCTTTCTCTCGATTTGTAGAGTTCTGATCGTCTTTACGAATTGTTGTATTACCAAAACGAGTTCGTTAGTGTTCTCCTTGGTCATTTCCTGTTTAGTTCCTGTTTAATTCCTGTTTAATCCCTGTTTAATTCCTGTTTAATCCCTGTTTAATCCCTGTTTAATTCCTGTTTTTCTGAACCCCCCCCCCCCCCCCCCCCCCCCCAGGCTGACTACGTAACATGTGATCCTTTAACAGGTCTTAACTAGCGGTAAAGGGAAGAAGGGAGTAACAGTAAAGCAGTAATGGGAAGAATTAGGAGTAACAATATAACGAGTCTGCAGATTGAGGCGACCTCATATTGTACAAGTAGCTATAAAAGTATAAAGTAGTTGAGCCAACTGTTCTGCTCGTATTACTTTTGATAAAATGTGTTTTGGAGGATAATATGCTGTAGTGCAGACGGGGTCGACTTGTAATCGAAGGCAGATGATATGACATAATTCTAAAACGGGGTTGCCTTAATGGAAGCCACTTAAATGGTTGAGGAAAGGGAAATAATTCTGCTTTTTATATAGATAAAGGTAAGAAACTCATAGTCAGATAGTCATACAGCACGTAGTGAACTACTCTGTAATATTGTAAGTTTGTAGTGGGTTCGTACAGGGGGGGGGGGGCGGCATTTTCTTGAATTTTAGGGGGAAATGTATATTTTGTGTATTACCCTGTCCACTTAATTGAACGTTAAGTGACTGCACTGTCAGGGGGAAAACGCTATAGGGGGCGGGAAAAAAGGCTAAACTTTTTTCATCAGAGCATTTTTAGATGGGCGGCAAAAATAGTTAACGGGGGAGGGGGGATAGGTAGTACGTTTTGTCATTGAGATCTCTTCAGTGCAGTTTCATGAAGTTCAGATATTTATTTTTGGTTTTGTTGGGTAGTAATTTTGATTTTCGATATATTTTACGTGATATTTTACGTGATATTTTACGTGATATTTTACGTAATATTTTACGTAAATGTTTGTCGGGATGAGTTTTAGCCTGAGATAACCGTTTCACTTGGTAGTCGATCAGAGAAAATAAACTTCTACAAAGTTGTCTATTGTCTCAAAGCGGACTTTTATATCAAAGCAATACATATTCGGTAGGGCGGGCATTCCACTCAATATAATAATGATTTTAATGTCTATCAATTAAAGTGGTGAGAACATCAAAGTCAAACTGTCGAAGTGTCGATTATAGACATAAAGGTCATTCTAAAGACTTAAAGCAGTGCCTCTTTATCTTAGGAATGTGATGACAAGTTATATCTAGCACCATATCTTATGTTGGTTATACTTATAACTTATACGTACGTGCTTCATTTCAGCCACGTATTATTAATATTATAGTGAGCATGTTTTGAAGTAGGAATTTAGAGTTGACTATTTTTGTATCTACTAGTACTATGTAAGTATATTGTACTTGTGTAACACTTTTGTTCAAATTTATTCCCTTATTTGGATTGAGGTCTGTGGTTTCCTTTATGAACAATTTTTCTTATTTAGCTAGTGAAGTAGTTATTTTTCATTTTAAAGTTTCTACAGCTGCCGATGAATCTTGTTATGAACGATTAAAATCAGGTGCACATATCGCATATGGTATTTCTCTTGAAGAAATATTTATTTTAGTATATATTACCGCATTCCAACTCGGCTTGTGAAGCAATTAAATTACGAAAGAGTTATTTTGGGAATGCCGGGGCCTATATAACCGAACAAAGTATCGAGTATTTTGGAAGAAATCGCAAATTGAACCTTTTTCATCCGTTTCATCCTTGTAGCTAATTACAACACTACAAATCTATTACATTTATTGAGGACGTTACAGATGGAATTAATTTAATGTAGTTTGAGTCCTTACTCTCCTCACGTCCAACAATTATGGCGTTTCTCTTGTTGCTAATAATATTAGTATATGAAGATACTACAGAAACCTGGTTCGGCCATTTTAGATCCATCTCCCTTAAGCAACTTCCGCTCTTGTGTAAAAATATTACATAATCTTTTCCGAACCCTTTTTGCAAGTGGTATCACTTTATAAGGGATAATACTTTATAGTTTATGTTATAGTTTATATCCGTTTTTAATTTCACCGATAAAAGCTTCAAAGTAATGCAATCAGTTTGCATAACCTACTCTCTCCGGTGGTCTTGGTTTGTAGCTAACTTATAGTAGTAGTAACTAGGAATGTTCTGAAATGTGCAAACTGTATTTTATCAAACTTGCCAATGCATTTTTGCTTAAAATATTTTATCATCTGGTGGTAACTTTGGTATTTTTTGATTTTAAGAGACCCATGTTTGTTTTAAACTTTCTCCTCTAAAGAGGAGAGACAGTCTTTCAAAGATACTAGACAGCCGCTCAGACATGGGCACCTTAATGTGTAAATTATTCAGATATCTCTTATAAACAATATGTTGCCGAATAAGAAAGCGAATACTAAGTAAACTCACAAGGAAAAACTTTACAAATTATTGAACAAGTTGTTCATATTCCTCGTTTTACAAATACGAGAAGAGTGAAATCATTTACATTTTTTTTTCTCGTTAAACAACTTGAAGTGAGAAATGCACCGTTCCGTCACTGCTGTTGCTCCTTCGAAATCTTCTGCAGCAAAGTTAATTAAAGTTTTTTGTGTATCGTGAAAGGTTTTTTTTTAACGTGGTATAATATCAATGAATTATTTCACGTTCAATAAACCAAATGACGGTGAGATAAAATATACATAAAACATTTTTCAAATGTACCTAGTATATCCAAGTTCTGTTTTAGTTTCTCCGCCATTTCCTCGGAGACCGTACTGTTGAAGAATTCCTCCCCTCGCAACAGATCCCTGCACCGGCTGAACACTGTTCCATTCCCCTGCTCACATTCACAGTCCTAGCTGTGCTGGTGCAGCTTGTGTCGATCTCATTAACATAACCTGACTTCACCTCGAGTAACAAGTCCCCCATTTCAGGTACCTTCTTCGTCCGTATTTCTCTTCTACTTCTGAACAAAGGCATCAAGTTC